TTTACACATAATTTCGTTGGTAACCCTTAGAGGTCAAATTTAAAATGGACCACCCCTAAGATATAACACATAACCTATTCAATATAATGGATTATCGAATTGATAATCTCCTCCTTTTTTTGAAATTCACTAAGGGTAATGTCTAGGTCAAAAATTTTTGAAAAATCACCCCCATACGATACAGTGGTTTAATCTGCATATTTAGTGGGAATGCTTTGCCAGTTTTTATCAGATGGTAAGTCATTCTAGAATGATAGAAACTATTTCAGTTTGGTACACATAAATGAAATCTCTCGAATGATGTGAAACTGCGTCTCTTGAGTCGATTGAGGTTTATTCTAATACAAGTTGCCAAATTTATTTAGTAGCTGTACGATTCTAAAATCGTCAGCTCCTGAACTGGCATTCCGCCCAGGTCCCGGCAAGTTTACTTCTGGCAGTTGTCGCGCCTCTGTTTACTGAAGAATACTGTAAGTTTGTGGAATTAACAGCCCCTTTGTGTTGCATTTTAAAATTTCACCTCCTCGCACTCGAACAAGCTTCGTTCAGTTCAAAAGTTGCGGGCTTGCTTGCGCACTCCATGTGGCCCCCTCGTTCGACCAATCCCAAACATCCACATGAGAAACGTCAGTTTGCTAGCTGAGTAGTTAGTTGTCACATCTTGATTTCGTGTGCACACCGTACTGTAGTTTTAGTTACGAATTTCTCAGTATCGAAGCCGCTTTGAGTGTTATAGTTAGATTATTTATTACACAAAAAAGAAACCGAGTGTGACGTCAAGTTTGCAATTCGTATTATTACAACGCATACGGAAACGATGTGCTGAAAGAAATGCTTTTTCTGTACTTCTATTTCGCCAATTCGTTAAATTTGTCTGTCGGTAGTTTAAATTAGTTGCCGATTGGTCTTTCACTGTGTCCGTGGATATAAAACTATTTTTTCTTAGTAGGATTAATGATTATTTAGAGATTGTTAAACAAAGTAAGTGTTTAGGTTAAGTTTCATTACTTAGCATTTTTATGATCGCGTAAATTATTCAATTCCGTAAAATATACGCGGTACCTAATTAATTAAGTTACGATTAATTTCTTGCACCTATCAGCTGACGTGTTTTTTCTACAAGAACCTAAGTACCCATAACCTCTCTCGAAGTACATGCTGAAGCACCTTTCTAGAACAATACATCATACAATAAATTAATAAATTTATTGTTATTTAGCAAGGGGTAATCCAACAACATGGAGGACGCCCATACAAAAACTGTGGATGAAGTTATCAAATATTTTTCTGTGGATCCCGAACGGGGTTTATCCGTCGATCAAGTAAAAAGAAATCAAGAAAAATATGGGCCAAATGGTAAGTACACTACCTGGGTATCATGCCCAACATGAATTAATAAAACATTAGCTTCACTTCCTTGTATACATAATTAATTTTAAATTCTAGTTAACATTTCAAAATATTCATTAATTTCGTACTCATTAAGCTTGATCAACAATTTTTTTGATAATTGTATATTAGTGATGCTCCACTCCAATTTTATAAGAAAAATTTTTTTGAAGATTGCCACAGCTTCAGGATGCTCTCAGTTTCAATGAACATTTCTGGGAATCTAATATTTACAATTTGACGCGCTTTAGAATTTTTTTTTGCAAATAGATTGAAAAAAAAATTAATTTTCTGGGCTTCTCTCAATCTGAATTATCCATTTCCAACATCCTGAAGATCCAATCGCCAAAAATTTATTTACTTGACTATGTACGTTAGAATTTCTTTAACAAAACAAGGCATTTATTAATTAAAAATAGGTAGGTAAGTAGTGTAAAAAATAAAGTGCAGTACCTATAGAATTCTACTTTTGGGCCAATGAACCATATACTTGGGTAAATATTTCGTGATATTTTTATGAGGCTTATTGAACTGCATTTGTAAAGCAGAATGTTTTTTTAACCCAAAATTTTTGACATGGAAAAGGCCGTCTCGATTGACAGACTAATTTTCAGAAAGCAATGTTTTGATTGCGATAAAATTAGATCAATTCAAACCTGAAAATCAGTCTTGTCTTGTGGTTAATCTTGGCTGAACCGTATTATTGTTTTTTTTTCAAAACCAATTAAACCTGCGGTTTTTAAAATTCTGCTTTTTATAATAAGAAAAACTAGGGGTGCGAAATGCCAATCTACAGTCTATTTATAACTTCAAATAGATACAACTATATTCCTCAAATAAAGTAAAGGGAACTTGAACGTATTGAATAAAAAATTTGTTAGGTAGAGGAAAACGGTGTGGAGTTTTACTGGAATTCATTTAAGTACGGGAAAATACGATTTTCATATGCGTGCACTATCCATGCAAACGTAGATGTAAAGAGACAGATAAAGATAGGTACGGCATAGGTTCCAGTTTCATGTCTATTCTATTTTTGAATTTCCTGTGAAATGCTGCTTCCAGAAAGAAGGAACACTAACGCATAGGAAATGAAAAAAATAAAATGAACACGTCATTTTTAGAAAGATTACTTATTACCAGGTACCTATTCTATTTTTGTACGTCTTTAATGAGTTGTAACTGATATTCACTAACTGAAGATTTTATTTTGACATGAATAGGTATTAGAAATTTTGATGTCCATTATTTATGAATAGGAATTGAATTAATATTAAATGTAATGCGTTAATGACATATATTTACGTCCTTGGTCTACTTCAATTATATCGGAAATTGCTAAATTACGTGGGTACAACCTATAACAGTTGTGCTCATGTTTTGGAAAACTAAATTGAACGAAATTACGCATAATCAATTCTGAATTAATATGTTATTAATAGAAGTACTGCAAAAATTAACAATTGCATCATTTTTGCAAAAGGTTTTTTACACATAATTTCGTTGGTATTTTTATCTAAACATGTTGGGTGTCAAAACTATATTGTTTCGAAAAGTGCGTTTAAAGTTTTGTTTTGTTTACAATTTGAAATTGTTTTGTACCTGTCATTGTTTGAATTTTTTAAAGTTTATCAATATAAGATACCTACCGATTGTTTTGATGGCTACATCTGAAAAATATAGGTAGGTACTTGTAGGATTTGTTTGTTTGAGATAACACAAAATATTTACTTTGTATTTGTGAAAACAGACCCTGTCATATGAATATTAAACGTGTAAAGTAATTAGAAATTACTGGCAACATCCTGGACACTGATCCATCTTTTAATTAGACGTTTAAATGGCCAGCGAGTTATTAAAATATTACCTGCATAGTGATTACTGATATAAGTTTGCAATATTTAACCAGGCTACTTTTAGTTTTAAACTAAAGAAGATTATTAATACGTAGGTAGCAGAAAAAACCAGACACATTTTTAACATTCAACTTCAATTGGGACTTTATCTTTTTAATCCAGACTGTGTTTTTAGAATTCTTATCAACGCAATTAATTACCTGAGTGCCTAATTCACAAACTGGCGAATTGAGTTCATTGACGCGTTTAAAAGTTTCCGTTTCTTATTGCTATTTATTACCACAGAACAAGTAAAAGTTTCTTTAACCGCTTCTTCTTATCTATGTTCGTTTGTAGGCAGATCGAAAGAAAACAAAAAAATATTTTTAAATACATACAAAACACATGTTGTTCTTAATTCGTGTCTTGTTAATAGGTAGTAGAAAAACGAATTCGCATGCATTATAATGCATAATATAAATAGAATTCGGCCGGTTGGTTGAAGTAACTTTATCGTATTTGTGTACGGCATAGTTTGGCCTACATACTTCTCTAAGAACATAAAAAAGGTGAGAAACAGATGTACCTTCGCATTAAATGTAGGATATGTTTAAAATGTGTATCTACCTATCTGTTGTATGTACAGAAGTCGAAATAGAAAATTTCATGTGTATTTCACTCGTTTGTCGGCGCTCGTTAGTGGACTCTGTGTGAAGGCTACAACTTACGTCACAACTCTGACGTTTATGGAAGGAATATAGTAGAAGTGCAGAGTGGTTCTTTTTTATAATAAAATACCAAGAAAATTATATTTATTTAAGTTCTGCGGCTCAAATATTTTAATGCAAGATACAAGAAATCATTGCAAAATAAAGTGGTGACTTTTATTACTTTCCAAGCAAAAATTGTTGTCTGGTTTTGTTTGTAAGAGAATAAACATTTAAAAATGCAAATAGCAATTCTAAAGAAAATTAAATTCTCTGCTAAATTCCAATGAAGTTATTCCTGAAGTCCTTATTAGTTTAGAGAGGAGTACCGATTTGTTCGAAACGGGTACGTCGAATACCAGTAGCGTATCATAAAGAAACACGTTATGTAAACTGTTTACGACGGTTGTGCTATATGGTGATAAAATAAATGCGTGTAGAAACGTTTACAGCCTGATGACTTCATCTAGGTAATTACCTTGATGAATCGTTGTCTTGTGCACCCGGTGCAATGAATTTTCCGCTTCTGTGACGCAGATTTCAAATTTTCTACATAAATTAGGAATAATGGACTTATTTCCGAATAATTATAATACTTGCAATTAAATTGTTATAACTGGAAAGAAAATTGTACTGTAAGTCGCAACGTTCTTTTTAGTTAACTAGTTAAAAGACACCCCAGAAGATTAATAAAAATCATTCACATTTTCTTCATTGCTAAATAAATATTCTATTTCCGTAATACCTGCAAATACTTACTAACAAAAATGGTTATTCATATCATGGCGAGGTGGTGCGCACATAGCCTTAAAGCCTTTTTCTAAAATAGCGATTATACAAGTGAAAGAATAATCAAATATAGTTCAATAATTTTAGGGCAAATTAGGGATAGACATAAAGGCCGAATATATCTACACAGAAGTCCTTTTTTAAAGGACGATCGACGTTTTTAAAACGTCCCTGATTCTCTTTAAACGCAGGACGACAAAATCAATTTTGTGTTATAAAAATTTTGTTTTCATATAAAAACCCTGTTCGCACGGACCAACCGTGTTTTTTTACAATTACAGCCTATTTTCAAAACGTACTTTATTATTTTACAAAAATATACAGCGACATTGGATTTGATCCAGTAGGTATACTTGATGCACAGTGACATAAAATATGTGAACCCATTACGAACCGATCGAGTGGGTTTTAATTTAAAAACTTTTCGAACGTGTTTACGTATGGCGCGTACGACAACTGAAGCTTTAAAACAAAAATTCCCTCCTACCGTAATCTTTTTTCAATTTAAAATTTTTGAAACCGTTATGTGGGCCGATACATTTATTGTTTTATGTCTGTGACGTCAACTGACTTGAAATGATTTGCGACCTTTCAATACCGTAGCCTTAGTCTTAAAACGTCCAATTAAAAATTAAAGACCGTTACCTGTTACTTATATGTTTTAATTAGTCCTATACTTTGTTTAACAATTTTTTTTTATTTTTCAGAACTTCCCGCCGAAGAGGGTAAGTAAACCATCGTTTAATTAATTAATTAATTACACAAAACATACATTTGAATAATTAAAATGCCAACAGGTATTTCTTTTAAAATATAATGCAGTTGTGTTCATTTCAATAAAAATGCAATAGTCGTATAGAACTCTTTAGTTTAGAAGCAAGTTGACATAATATCTAGTTATGGCAGAATGCAGTTATCTAATGATATTTGGTGCTAAGTGAAGTAAAGCTAGACAAGGCCTTCATCGATTAGAGTTGCTTCGTAACGTTTCAAAGGTACTTCCATTGAAGTGCATTTTTCTTTGGGATTTTGTATGAATTCAAGGATTGAACTGACCGAACGGCGGGAATTACCTTTGACTATTGCTAGTAGAAAAAAAATCAACTTTAAAACTTTACTTGTTTGTACAAACATCATTCCCGAATCTTTAACCCTTAGAGGTCAAATTTAAAATGGACCACCCCTAAGATATAACACATAACCTATTCAATATAATGGATTATCGAATTGATAATCTCCTCCTTTTTTTGAAATTCACTAAGGGTAATGTCTAGGTCAAAAATTTTTGAAAAATCACCCCCATANATAATTCGAAGTGGTCTGTATTCTGTCGAAACTGCCAGACGCGGATCGCGATTTCGATCTTTTTGGATCTCATCAGCGCGTCGCAGGCAGCTCCGACAGAACATTGACCAACTTTTACCTGCTGTTTTAACAGTGCGTTTTAGACAGTAAGTCCACATCCAGCATCGGAGATGGAAGAAGAAGCACGTCATTCTTGTTGTTAATGTTCTATCTATTCGCATGAAGAAGAACTCCCGAAAAAATTTAAATGATTCGTCGAAACGTTGAGAATAAGAAGTCAAAAAGTCCGAGAGTCAACAGTTGTTACGTAAAAGATTGAATTGGTCGGTTTTGTTGAATTCATTATATGTGAATAAGAAACTGACTGTTTGTACACTCACACATACAAAGTTTATATTGAGGCTCTTTAAATAACTTTAATGGGGTTGTTAGCGTTTCGCAAACAACTTGAAACAATCAGAAAAATGAACGAATTACGTAAATTACGTCGACAAACACATACTTATGCCACTTTACTTGCGCTCATTTAATTGACAGCAGTAATTTTTTTGAAAGTTTGTACTAAAGTTAGCACATCCTACATCAAAGGAATATGTTCAATAGCATTAAACTTTTATTAGTGGTTCGATTTGGCGTGAAATATTGTATGAAAAAATTTCAGTAATCTGGAAGTTGTTTCAGTCACTTCATTTATCTAAGAACAATTTCAAAGATCTTTTTGTTCAAATCAAAGGATGCAAAACGATGAAATCTTTCTAAACAAGAAGAGCAATAAATAAAGTTTTTAGTGCCCGAAATAATAATATGCATATTTGCGATTTGGCATTGCGTAATTGCTTATACCTAATACCAAAGAGAAATACGCAGAGATTAAAAATAATTTAGTTTTAAGGCAACGAATAAAACTTTACTGACAGTTTGACCGTTACACATTTGGAACATCTAAAACGGTCGGTGTATTTTTGTTAAGAAAATTCCTCACAATTTGCGCACACCATGAAAACGTAAAACATTATTTGGACTCAATGGTGTCTTACATGTCAAAACAGCATGTAACGGAGACATTGATGATGAGTTGTACAAAGATAAAGAAAACTTTAATCTAAAATACGATACACATAAACAATACTTTCTAGAAAATCCCTTCATATACCGAAACGTATTAAGGAAACTTGAAATTAATAACGAGTGTAATAAATGTTATTATTTGTCTACTAATAGCAATAAAGATAATAAACGGGATATTTGCTATTGTAATAATCAGTTTCTTATCTTTAACGGTTACCGTATTTGCATACGTTTCCTTCAAGGCTATAATAACTTCGTTACAAAAGGCTGGGACGCCATAAGTAATTATGACTGGGCGAAGGGTCAATTGATGGCCCATGGCGAAGTACTAGATGTGCTAGAATATTTTGAAAATCGATGCATACAATTTTGTGCAGTCATTTTTCTATAGCCTTGCGTGGATCATGAAAGTGTGACGTTTGACGATCTAGACTACCGCAGTCCCTCCAGTATTTATACTGTTATAAGGTCAGTTTTGGCTAAAGGGAATTACCTACCAATACTTACGATGGCTGCTACGGGGTGTTGCAATTTGAAAAAAAATTTATTGCGTTTCAGCATAGAAAGTGGGACAAGTCGATGAATTTTTTCAAAATATTCACATGGAAATCAATGTTTTCTAGCACCCTTAACCAGAATCTTTGTCCGAGGAGATTGGTCTTCACAAAGTTTATTTCTTACTTATTGAAAAAGAGAAAATAACTTATCCATGGTCCGTCGATTTTTGTGTGAGTGGGGACATTGTAAGCACAAGAAGGTTAATGAATCTCGGAAACGTGTCTTCTAAAGATTCGCCTTTGACGTCATTCTAAAAGCCTGTTGGGATGACGTACGAAGTACGATTAGATGAACTTATTGGCTGACGAAGGAAGGTGGCTTATTACTACGATAAATTAGAGAGTTACACCTACACATTTGCACATGCGTGCCCTTTGATCGGATAAAATAACAATGTGTGGTGCAGATTCATTAGCTTTTGGCCTCGCCGGTCGCAACGTTCACCCCGATTACAACACAAAAGAGTTATGAATAAAAGAAAACCGACAACATGCATATAGCTGCTACGAATGATGAAATCAATTTCTGAATTGGGTTGTAAGAGGAACTTCAATTTTCAGACCTTTTTCAGAACGTAAAATTCAGTATAAGAACGTCGTAAACTGAAACAATTGCTTTTCTAAATAAATAAGCAAATTGTAGATTGCAGATATACCTGTTGGCAATAACTATTATTTACTGTCGTCAATAAGTTATTTATTATTCAATTTGTTGGCAACTAATTTTAGACTAGTGACGTTTTATTTAATTTATTATCATACAATTAAAATCTCTTTTGAACAGCGTAAATTACGCTGCTGTTGGTAAATTTTATTATATTACATATATTTTATTTTCTTCTAGGAAAATCAATATGGCAATTAGTTTTAGAACAATTCGATGACCTTCTAGTCAAGATTTTATTATTAGCTGCAATTATTTCATTTGTAAGTACCCTATATACATATATACTATACCCAGGTTACAGTTAAACGCGTTATAGCGTAAAGGTTTTGAACCAGCCTTGGGATTATTTCTAATATAATAGTTTGTAAATTGACGTGGTAGAAAACTTCAAGGGCGAGTTGTTATTTTATAGTTGTTAAAATTTAGATGACTTGTTTTTGTGGTAATTTTGTGTGTTCCAATAAAAGTTATTGTAAGTTCTGAAAAGTCATAAGTACTAGAGTCATGCGTAGTCAAAATGATTAAGACGAATGTTGGGCTATGCGGAAAACGGAGTTTGTGACTTTTTCATTGATGTAAAAGTTTAGATCATGAACAAAAATATATTTCCAAAGTTTAAAATTTTCTTTTTTTATTTAAATGTTTTAAATTTAGTGTATGACCTGCAACTTCCGATTACAATTTACAACCAAATTCATTTTCTCGAAATTAAATATAGCCTAAGTGCGGGTTTTAATATCGATCGTAAAAATCCGTTGTAAAATTTTTGCGTACACTTAATAAGTGTTTCGCGGTTTCATGTTGAACTCCTATTTTACGCACATTTACTGCCTGCCATTTATTTGGCTTTTCTATTTATTAGTATTATTAACGATATGTATAAATTATTACATAACTTATGTAGTTATGTATAAATTATTACATAACTACATAAAATTTAAAAAATATGAATACACAGAAAACGGGTTTGAGTTTTCAATAAGAAATACAGTGGATATGTGGTCGTTATAGCCGATGGTCGTTATCGTTATATCCAAATATCATAATCGTATTCTCAATTTGTTTATGATAGGATACAATACATTTACATATGAATGAGTGCAAATTCCAATACGTAGTTTACAAACAACTTTGCACTTAAATAAATTCTATTACTTTTTAACAAAAAAAAAAGTAATTGTTTTGGTCCGTTTTTGTAATTTATTAATGTTCTAAAAAGATTCTACACAATAATTTAACTACATTTGTCAACGTTGTGTTAGTTTCGTCGTAATATAAAATGTCGTTATAAACGTTACTGTTAATAAATGTCTTAACATTTTTTACTTGTCAAAATAAAGAATCGTCAGTGTAACGTTATTGTATAATTTTGTGTTTAAAAATTTATTTTGGCAAATTACTTAACTGTCAGTCTAACATAACGTCTTTTAAACCGAATAAATGCAAAAATTTCCACGTGTTTTATGTAATAAAAGCTAAATGACGCGTTTTTACCAATGCCACTGCTCCAAGTTAATGTTATAGGGAACAAAAAGGTGTTACCATTGCCAAAGATCGCAAATCCTACCGCCAACTTTGTTTTAAAATAGCAACCGCTTCAACCTATAATAGCAGCCGCATTAGCAGCAGCGATCCTATCTCCTCTGCCTAGAGATTGATATTATACTTGAATTTTCTGTAAATTTACCCACATTTACGCACACACGTACCTATGTGTGTGTTTGCAAAAATCGTGACATGAATCACTTCGCAGTTGCGTCAACCGCGATTGGATTCATGTCAGTTATTAAAAAAATCCCAGATTGATCTGTACAAATATTTGAGTTTTAACTGCCAAAAAAAAAAAGGCCTACCTTTGTAAATTTATTTTAAATCAGTCTAAAAATGTTTTTCTAACATTCGGAATAGATTTTTCTGTAATTAGCTATTTTTCTCAAACATTTGCAACGAATCTAGAATCTTTAAATAAATGAAGCATGTCCACCTTTTTAAAAAAATAAAATTTTACAGGTACTCGCGTTATTTGAAGAACACGATGGAGCCTTTTCAGCATTCGTGGAACCCTTTGTAATTCTTTTAATTCTTATAGCAAATGCCGTAGTCGGCGTATGGCAAGTAAGTAGACAAAAATAGCAGTGTAATACTAATTCTCAAAATCCAATTATAAGCGTAGGCAACACTACAATACCTAAGCACTTAATTAGATAAATTTTGCTTTCTCAAATGTGACGACGGCTTTCGTAATAGAAGAAACCCTAATCAATCTTTTCTACGCGTTTGTTTAGGAAAGGAATGCAGAATCTGCTATCGAAGCGCTCAAAGAATATGAACCCGAAATGGGTAAAGTTGTTAGACAAGATAAGAGCGGCGTGCAAAAAATCCGCGCGAAAGAAATCGTTCCTGGAGATATCGTTGAGGTGTCAGTGGGAGACAAGATCCCAGCTGACATTAGGATAACAAAAATCTTCTCGACCACCCTCAGGATTGACCAATCTATATTGACTGGAGAATCCGTTTCAGTTATCAAACACACCGATGCCATTCCTGATCCTAGAGCCGTCAACCAAGACAAAAAGAACATCCTCTTCTCCGGTACTAACGTAGCAGCAGGAAAAGCTCGTGGAGTTGTCATCGGAACCGGTCTTAACACTGCTATCGGTAAAATTCGAACTGAAATGTCAGAAACGGAAGAAATCAAGACCCCGCTGCAACAAAAATTGGACGAATTCGGCGAACAATTGTCTAAGGTCATCTCGGTCATCTGCGTTGCTGTCTGGGCCATCAACATTGGTCACTTCAACGATCCCGCTCATGGAGGTTCCTGGATCAAAGGAGCCATCTACTATTTCAAAATCGCCGTGGCTCTTGCAGTCGCTGCCATTCCTGAAGGTCTACCTGCCGTCATTACCACCTGTCTGGCCTTAGGTACCAGAAGGATGGCGAAAAAGAACGCCATCGTTAGATCGCTTCCCTCTGTTGAAACTTTAGGTTGTACTTCTGTAATCTGTTCTGACAAGACCGGTACTTTGACAACCAACCAAATGTCCGTATCTCGCATGTTCGTCTTCGACAAGGTTGAAGGTGGCGACAGCAGTTTCCACGAATTCGAAATTACGGGATCAACGTACGAACCAATCGGTGAAGTATTCCTCAAAGGCCAAAAGGTCAAGTGTGCCGACTTCGAGATATTACACGAATTGGCTACCGTCTGCATCATGTGCAACGACTCTGCCATCGACTTCAACGAGTTCAAACAATGTTTCGAAAAAGTTGGTGAAGCCACCGAAACCGCTTTGATCGTATTGGCTGAAAAAATGAATCCATTCAACGTTTCAAAGTCCGGCGACCGACGGGCTGCTGCAATCGTTGTCAGACAAGACATTGAAACGAAATGGAAGAAGGAGTTCACCCTCGAATTTTCCCGGGATCGTAAATCCATGTCCAGCTACTGCGTTCCTCTTAAACCATCCCGTCTTGGAAATGGACCAAAACTCTTCGTCAAAGGAGCTCCCGAAGGCGTTCTTGATAGATGTACCCATGCTCGCGTCGGATCACAGAAAGTACCTCTCACCTCCACGTTGAAGAACCGCATTCTGGAGCTCACCAGACAATACGGTACCGGACGCGATACTCTACGTTGTTTGGCTTTGGCAACCGGCGATAATCCTCTGAAACCTGAAGAAATGGACTTGGACGATTCCAACAAATTCCACTTGTACGAAATCAATCTCACTTTCGTTGGAGTCGTAGGAATGTTGGACCCGCCTCGTAAAGAAGTCATGGATTCCATCGCGAGATGCCGTGCTGCTGGTATTCGTGTAATTGTCATTACCGGCGATAACAAAGCTACAGCCGAAGCCATCTGCCGAAGAATCGGTGTTTTCGGAGAAGACGAGGATACTACTGGCAAGTCGTACTCTGGACGTGAATTTGACGATCTTCCAACTTCCGAACAAAAAGCTGCATGCGCCAGAGCGAGGTTATTCTCTCGAGTAGAGCCTGCTCACAAATCGAAGATAGTTGAATATCTTCAAAGCATGAACGAAATCTCTGCCATGGTACGACCGTCAATTGTTTATTTCACGTTATAGCATTCTCAAATTAATTTCTAATTACAGACTGGTGATGGTGTAAATGACGCTCCAGCTTTAAAGAAAGCCGAAATTGGTATCGCAATGGGATCAGGAACCGCTGTTGCTAAATCAGCCGCCGAGATGGTTTTGGCCGACGACAACTTCTCATCTATTGTATCAGCAGTTGAAGAAGGACGCGCTATTTACAACAACATGAAACAGTTTATTCGTTATCTTATCTCGTCGAATATTGGTGAAGTAGTTTCCATCTTCCTTACGGCTGCTCTGGGTCTTCCAGAAGCCCTCATTCCCGTACAATTGTTGTGGGTCAACCTTGTAACTGACGGTCTGCCCGCTACTGCCCTCGGCTTCAATCCACCCGATTTGGATATCATGAGCAAACCCCCACGTAAAGCTGACGAATCTCTTATTTCCGGATGGTTGTTCTTCAGGTACCTGGCCATCGGAGGTTATGTAGGAGCCGCGACAGTTGGTGCAGCCGCTTGGTGGTTCATGTACTCTCCAGAAGGTCCCCATCTCACTTATTACCAATTGGTAAAGCCAGCAACCAACCAACCAACCAATGTAGCCGATGTTTGTACATTTTCTGTTTCATTTGCAGACACATCACTTGCAGTGTTCCGTTAACTCGGAAGATTTTAAGGGTGTAGATTGTTCCGTGTTTAGCGATCCCCATCCCATGACAATGGCTCTATCTGTACTTGTAACGATTGAAATGTTGAACGCGATGAACAGGTAAGTTAGGAGAAATTTAGTTTGTTAGAGATTGAAAAAAGTAATTGTTGGGGAATGTTTCAGTTTATCTGAAAACCAGTCTCTGATTGTGATGCCTCCATGGTGCAACTTGTGGCTCCTCGCTTCCATGATCCTCTCGTTCACGCTTCATTTCGTCATTTTGTATGTAGAAGTACTTTCGGTAAGTTTCAAAACTTTGCGAGTGAGATTACTTGAAAGTAAAACTGTTAGGGATTGTCATGTTTAACGACGGTGCTTGGTACTTTTTCCAGGCTGTGTTCCAAGTGTGCCCATTAACGGTTGCTGAATGGATGACGGTAATGAAGTTTTCAATTCCAGTCATTCTTTTAGACGAATCGTTGAAGTTCGTCGCAAGAAAGATCACAGACGGTGAGAATCCGATTTATACTGTGCACGGGATAATCCTAATGTGGGCTGTGTTCTTTGGTCTACTCCATGTGTGCCCTATATAATGAAACTGCTACTGCCTCATTGATCGAGGCTAGTTGAATTTGTGTGTTTGCTGGGATCTTAACATATACATAAAATATTATACAGTACATTCGTAGACGCCGCTAGGTTTACATACAGCAGCAATCCTTTTCTCTTCTTGTTATGGCTTTTTAGTTCTTCTTTCTATTCCCCTACTACATCCTTAGTTTACACTTCTTCCACAGGACAATAGCTACCATTGTGCCAAATTAAAACATAAGTCGTAAAGTTAATTCAACGAGTAATTAATTTTTAACTGATGACTGACTGATTGTTTAGCCTTTATATCTTATAAACATTATTTATGAATATTTCGTAGAAATTAACCAATTTGATTTTCCCCTTTAGCTTTGTCGCATATTATTTTCCAATGCTTTAGTTCATTAGTTGCTTCACTTTCGCTCCTTTACTTATTTTTGGATGACTGGTGGGACGGTACTTCTTTTTGAAAGTTGCTTAAATTAAAACTTATCCAACGATTAGCCTTAAGTTTTTTTATCTTTAATTTTTTGTTTGTTTCGCCTTCCGGCTTTAATCGACGTTAGTTGGTAAATGTGTGGACTTCGTCTGGAGTAAGGAGCTGAACCATTCGAAACTGAGAAAGACCAAAAAGTCCTAGTGCATCGTCAACCGCTCCTATCATCCACCCCAAATCCCCACTCCTCGCCCTGTTGCTGTATGTGATCTGACGGCCGAAATTTTTACCCGTTTTAAATGAACTGCAAACCGCATGAGTTGTGCATTTACCTACTACCCGTTTCGTAAACAATAAGTGGAGAGAAAAATTATCGCGAGGTTTGACCGCTGACCTCGAATAAAATATAAATACATACATATAGCCAATTATGTAATAGCTGCTCGACGGACTTTTTGTGTGTTTTTGTGATGGTCGTCGAGTTAGTTTAAATTTCGCGCGTTGTACAAATTAAAAAAAAAACAAGAAAAAAACAAAAGAATGTCTGTTAGGTCGTCATCGCGATCAAAGGCAAGTTGATTTTTTGTTTGTATAACCGTAACCGGTAATAGTTTTTATTATTAATTAATATTATTTATAAAATATGGAAGTGCATGGTTTTCGTGGTGCGCTACAAAGACTGACGGCGGATTGAACTGCAACGAAACACGTAGCCGTTTTGGTTTTTGTTTGTCTTTTGTTTAGAACAACCCCCCCTTTAAAATAGACACGTAGAAAAAGATAATATGATTTTATTAAAATTTGTTGTGTTCGTTTACTTTTTATTATAACAATTATTGTTATTATTATTTATGTAACTAGTTCAAGTTCAGGTTCTAAATAGTATTTTTTCTTTTCGACAATAATTTACGTGTATTTATCCTAATGGTTGGGTAGATGGCAAATATTTGAGAAAAGAGTGAAAAGATAGTAACTTTAAAAATGTTAGATGTTATAATAAATTTTGAAATAAAAAAGTAAATAAACTTTAAAGTATCAAACTTTAACAAACAAATGTTCTTTTTTTGACTGACGGACATTGGGATGTAACATGCCGCAATAAAACAATTTTTTTTTAGAAACTGGCATCTAAAAATATTCAATTGGTCGTCAAGTCTATTTATAATTTTCAAATAATTTCGAAAACTTATTTTTGATCTTTGG